TATAGGGGAGGTTATACTCAGAAGCTTCACTGTCCATTGACTCTGTTATGTTCAAGCTGGAGTTCACAGAGAGGAAGCAACGCTGCATTTAGATACTATTCATAAATCCAGCTAACTTTCACTGACTGATTTGTTCTAACACGGTCAATGGACATAACTCAAAGTAAATACTTCACATCCTTACATATTTGGGACAGGCCTTCAGTTCCCTTCACATAAACCTCTTGCTCAGCAAAGATGGGATATAGGCAACTATCAAATTGTTTATTTAAACCAGTATGTATATTACTTGTATCAAATTAGGAGAGAGAGAGTGAGATGGTAGCCTTTCTTAGAAAGGATGAAAGCCAAATAATAATTTAAACTTGGATTAATATATGAATAATCAAGAGGAATAGACACATACTGACTTTATGACCGCTTGTAGTGAGTCACCACTTTTTTTAATCTCTCAAAATTAATAGTACTGATGTGCTTAATGTTTCCGTAAAATGAACTGAACGATTGAATTGTGGAGAATCTAACTGATCTATCCATGTGTAGCATGACCATACTGACAAAAGTTTTAACATTTATATTTGTATGCATGATCTAAGCAGCGTAGGCGTCGCTTTCTGTCTGATCGGGGCCTGATTCTTCTTAATACCGCCACCTACTGGATTAAACAGTGCAAAATATTTACAGTGTTAACCCAAAGTGATTCCATTCACTACTATAGTCCGTCTAGTTATATTTTTGTGTCTATAGTAGCATTCTCGCGACCCTCACGGGACCAGGGGGGTCCCGACCCCCAGGTTAAGAACCACTGGTCTAGCGAACCACAGTCTTAAAACTAAATGTACTCACCAGAACAGCCAACTTCTAATAAGCTTTTTCAATGGCGCTGGTTAAATTTACACAGTGCCGTGGGTACGAGTCACTCTAGCCTGATTGACAGGTCGCCATGGTAATGACTTGTCAAGGTACAAGTAATTCAATTTGTAGTTCCTTCGTGCTACACACAACATATAATTAAGTTTAGGCCTATCTTAAAATATGGTAACATTTAAAATAAACTCATCAGGAGTGTGTTTACAAGTGTTTACTGAGGTAATAAATCAGGTGAGAAGTAAGGACATTTTACTATTATTTCTAATGGAACTGGACTTCTTTTTGCAACCAGAAGAGTCGCCCCCTGCTGGCCGTTCAGTAGAACCTTAGCTTGGTAGCAGCTTGTTGTGATGCTGCATGTTTTAGGTGTGGTTGTTTTTTTACAATATCTACTGCACTTTACATGGAAAGACGGCACTACAGGGCATGAGCTAAAACTGAAATCGAATTTGAGGCCTTTATTTAAATTTTTCTGTATATATTATGCTTACATGACGAATTTTCCTGAATTGTTCTTACTCAAGTGAACTGTGAAACTATGTTTAGTCCATGAGTGAGTTAAATACGGGCCCACAGTGCAAATACATATGTAATGAGGTGTGTGTAGTATATTACATCAAAAGGCCCGTTAAACAGCCTGTTATTCACATTGAATAGTATTTATGTCTGAGTGTGAACAATACGATATCATACAACATTAAGAGCGTAACACTGACTTAATATAAAAACAGTGCTTCCTGTGTGTGATGTTACCAAACATCCTGAAACATGCATCACGAGCAGCTATCACTGCAGTGGCTGCTGCTGAAGTAGTGATGTGGTACAGATGCAGGATGGACGACCAAACCAGCTAATGGTAAAATAGATGCATTAAGGTGGAGCTGGAGCTGCTTCAGCTGTAATAAGCACGCTGGGTGAATGATGGCGTAGACCTCAGTGCAGGTTTTTTCTTGGATGAGTAAGTTCTGACTATGGTTTTATTCTTTTTGCTAGGCGCACTGATAAAACACTAATGCTGACGTGAGCAGTAGCGGGGGAATTCTCATGTTGCCTTTCTAATCATTTCTTATTTATTTTATAAAGGCTTTTATGTATTAGTTTCCTTTTGATCTCGATGAGTGTCCAAGGTTAAAGGTTGCAATCTTTAAAATGTAGTGTTTCTTGAAAAGCAAAACCCATTTCACAGGGTAGGGTTATTGAAATAATAATATTGTCTAGACATTTTCATCATCTGTGTGTGCTTACAGTGACAGCATGAATTGTACACCACTACTCTTCAACATGCCAACAATAGTATATACATGCATACGTAATTCTACTAATCTCTAACTAATGACGGCAGTGATAGACTTTAGTCACTGACACAATCAGCTTTAGTTAAATTATGACGAAATGGAAACTGCTTATGGGAACAGGATGTAGTCGTGGTTTTAACAGGAACACACACAGAACAGTATAAGCTGTGCTAAGTGAATATGGTTAGATGATTTTGTTTTGAATAATGAATCCTGACAACTTTGGTGATCCCCTGACTTTTCTACTAGCACCTCCATGAGGTTGGTTTCAAGGTTTAGTGTGTAATATTTCGATATTCCTAATTTAATATTAGGATTTATTGACAGAAATGCAATATAAGATCCATAAATATGTTTACAGTGGTGTATAAAGACCTTACATAATGAACTGTTGTGTTTTTATTACCTTAGAATGAGACATTTCTATCTACATACACTGCGGGTCCTCTTACATGGAAGTCGCCATGTTACGCCGCCATGTTTCTACAGTAACCCAAATTGACAAACTCCTCTACAGAGCACGTTTCATTGCTACGTTGAAAATGTACAAAGAAAAAGACGAACAACAACAACAAGAAGTAATGTTGGTAGTAGTAGTCGTCTGGTTTATTAGAAGTAAGAAGAGAAGTGAAATTTGGACAAATGGAGGCCCACACGTATTATTTAGCAGAAGAGCCGACAGAGCATGTCGGCCACTGTAGCTCCTCCTGCACGCTTAGAAAGGGAGGGGTGAGCGGTAACTAATGGTGCATTTGTGTGGTGTAGGAATAATAAGAATCTTTTTTTTCTCCTCCTATCTTTATTTCAAAAGGAGAAAAAAAGTGGGACATAAAGATTGAGTGCAGGTTCTCCTACTTACAAAGCATGTAGAGGTCTGTAATTTTTATCATAGGTACACTTCAACTGTGAGAAACGGAATCCAGAAAATCACATTGTATGATTTTTAAATAATTAATTTGCATTTTATTGCATGACATAAGTATTTGATCACCAACCAACCAGTAAGAATTCCGGCTCTCACAGACCTGTTAGTTCTTCTTTAAGAAGCCCTCCTGTTCTCCACTCATTACCTGTATTAACTGCACCTGTTTGAACTCGTTACCTGTAGAAAAGACACCTGTCCACACACTCAATCAGACTCTGAGACAGAGACAGACAGAGAGCTGTGTAAGGACATCAGGGATAAAACTGTAGACCTGCACAAAGCTGGGATGGGCTACAGGACAACAGGCAAGCAGCTTGGTGAGAAGGCAACAACTGTTGGCGCAATTATTAGGAAATGGAAGAAGTTCAAGACGGATCACCCTCGGTCTGGGGCTCCATGCAAGATCTCACCTCGTGGGTCATCAATGATGATGAGGAAGGTGAGGGATCAGCTCAGAACTACACGGCAGGACCTGGTCAATGACCTGAAGAGAGCTGGGACCACAGTCTCAAAGAAAACCATTAGTAACACACTACTACTGACACCGTCATGGATTAAAATCCTGCACGCAAGGTCCCCCTGCTCAAGCCAGTGCATGTCCAGGCCCGTCTGAAGTTTGCCAGTGACCATCTGGATGATCCAGAGGAGGAATGGGAGAAGGTCATGTGGTGTGATGAAACAAAAATAGAGCTTTATGATCTAAACTCCACTCGCCGTGTTTGGAGGGAGAAGGATGAGTACAACCCCAAGAACACCATCCTAACCGTGAAGCATGGAGGTGGAAACATCATTCTTTGGGAATGCTTTTCTGCAAAGGGGACAGGACGACTGCACCGTATTGAGGGGAGGATGGATGGGGCCATGTATCGCAAGATCTTGGCCGACAACCTCCTTCCCTCAGTAAGAGCATTGAAGATGGGTCGTGGCTGGGTCTTCCAGCATGACAACGACCCGAAACACACAGCCAGGGCCACTAAGGAGTGGCTCCGTAAGAAGCATCTCAAGGTCCTGGAGGTCCTAGCCAGTCTCCAGACCAGAACCCAATAGAAAATCTTTGGAGGGAGCTGAAAGTCCGTATTGCCCAGCGACAGCCCCGAAACCTGAAGGTCTGTATGGAGGAGTGGGCCAAAATCCCTGCTGCAGTGTGCAAACCTGGTCAAGAACTACAGGAAACGTATGATCTCTGTGATTGAAAACAAAGGTTTCTGTACCAAATATTAAGTTCTGCTTTGTAAGTAGGAAAACCTGCAAAATCAGCAGTGTATCAAATACTTACCCATTGTACATATTTTGCAAACATATCATTTGTAATATGGTTTTAACATTTAGTTTGCTGTCCATGTAGAGTGATCTAGATATCTGTGTATTGTTTATACGTTCTGATAATGCTAATCCAACACATCTTTGTAGTTGCGTCCATGTTGACTCCACATTCCGACTTAAGAGCACATGAACACACACTGAAGTCGGGAGAATGAGTAGGGAATGAGTATGGGACCATCCGAGGAGCACGTGAATACTCTGCTGCAATTCGCAACCCACACAAACTTTTAAGTGAACAGTTCAGTGAACTATCTCAAAAAACAACAGGATGGATTGGTTACATTTTAATGTAAAGGATTGCCATGACATTTGGTACAGACATGCATGTTCTCCTCTGTTCTGACTTTTCATCTAGCACCATCATCAGGTCACAATTTTACTCTGTCCGCTACTTTGGTTTATAAAAAAACACCTGAGAAACCAATGACATTCCCGCCAGCCTCAGCTAATGCAAATTCAGCAAATGCTAGCATGCTAAAACGCTAAACTTAAATGCTCTTTATATCAAAGAATCATCACCAAGGACCAAATCTAATGTACAGTAAAATGTTTCTAATCTCTAAAAAGCTCTGCTTTTTGTTCCACAGCGACCAAATGAACGTGGACTACCAATCAGAGACGCCAAATACTCAACCCGATGAGACAAGTTTAAGCCATCGCTGAGTGCTCAACCAACGTGAAGATTTGTGTGTCTGTGACGTTATAGTTAAGTGTATGTGTGAACATATCTGAAAACATTCATGTGAGTGTGTGGAGTAACTTGAGTGTGAGTGGGGTGTGTTATGATGGTGTTCAACATGTCTGAAGAGGATGTGATTAATTGCACAATCAGCCATGAAATCCACCAGTACCTCTTCTCCAGTGTGTATATCCTCGTACTATTGGTAAGTGTGTGTGTACACCTTGAATACCTGAACGAAACTTTAGAAAAGTGCATAGCTAATGGAAAATGGTTTGATTCCAAATTGAGGTCAGAGTGGTATAAAAAAACTATCACGTCTCAATCTCTAGAAAGTCTAGTTCCTCCTTAAGACCTAAAACAGTAGAAGTGACGCTTAAAGAACAAGCTAAGTTAATGTGTGCAAATTGCAGCATAAGAAGTCTTATGATGCAACTGTGGGGTCATGTTTAGTTCACAAGAATGGTCTAATGTTTGATTTTTGAGTTCATAAGGTATGATGCTGGGCAGTGACACAGTGTCACATAAATCTGTTGACCTTATGGGGTCTCCTCTGGATGCCCCTGTGTCCACCCACGGTTCAAAGACATGGCGTTTAGGCAGTGGCATGTGGTCAGTTAAGGGCGTTCGGTGCCGCCCCTCATGCAATTCCAATTGTAAAATTCATATTTGAGTTAAAAATGCTGTCTGTAGTGTTTTTCTGCGTGCAGAGCGTAGTTTTCTCAAGCCAATGAAAAAATGAGGATGTTCTCTGAGATTAAAGTGGTCTTGCTTTTGTCTTTGAACAGAAGGAAGTATTTCATTATACTGGTTGGTGAGAGTAGCTTACATTAAATTCTGCATACCCTGCTTTAAATAGAGTACAGAGCATTTCATACCAAAAGCACATCTAAACATTTTTTTTCTTGTATATTTGTGACTTAATCTCAGAAAATATTTGAGTTTTCTTGTAAATTTACGACTATTCTTGTCATATTACTCTCCTCCCCTGGCTCTGTAATTTTGTATTTATCTGTATAATGGCCCTAATATGCCGTTGTAGTGACCAGACCAGCTGAAGAACTTGAGTATTAAATGATGTTTTGTTATTATGTTAGATGTTATTCCTGTGACAGGGCTTTTCTTCCAACATTGATAATTTAAACACACTTCATTAACAAAATTCTATATATTTTAATTTTTTCTATTTTGACATTCCGAATGCCTAAAACAAATGTAGGCTACAACTTAAAGGACCCGTTTTAGGGATATCAATTGGCAGAATATGGCAGAAATTATAGATAATATTCACAAGTATGTTTTCTTCTCAGTCAAGTCTCAGCTTTAAATATACACCTAGCTGTTGAAAGGCGCTGTTACCCTCAGCTGTGGGCTTCCATCCTGGCGGGTGCCTAATATCACCAAAAGCCCTAGACTGGTCTTCTCTTCCAGCTCAGTATACTTAGGAATTACATCCATATTGGACAATTCTGTACTTCATAATTGCATCCAATGTCAACATTTATGGAGCGAGGTGGAAGTCAAGGTGGCTCAACCTCAACTGTGCTTGATTTCCCTAGCCCTAGCCATGCACAGATGTTGTAGAAAGCATGGATTTTAAAATTTTACAATTGAATGTCATCTGGGATTGTGCAGAATCATTTCATATGGATGTTTATGTTTGGTTAAAGGGTTGTCTGAGCAGAGGGGAGGCAAGTGTTCTATACACATACTTTAGTAATCAGGTGAAGAAGAGGCGGGCAATGTGAAAAAACTGCCTGATGTCAGAGAATCTAAATAATCACAATGAATGATTTTCTTGACTGTAGATTGGCGTTCCCTCCAACCTGTACTCTTTGTACCACGCTGCTCTGCAGCTGAAGCAGAAGAATGAGCTGGGAATTTATTTATTGAACCTCACTGTGTCTGATCTGCTATACCTGGCGTCATTACCACTGTGGCTACAGTACATCTTTCAGGTAAATGAGAACCACTCATTTATTTTGTCATATATGTATTTTGCTGAATACAGCAACTTAAAAAAAAACAAAGAACAAAAGAACCCTAGGAGGAACTTTTTGAACATTCACTTGTCAGACTTTATCACTATTCTCCGCACGTTCACCAAAAACATTTTGCAGAGCTTTTACTGTGAGGAGCAGCAGCTCTTTAAAGGATTTGCAGGAGTGAAGTGCGCTCCTGTCAATACATCTGACGAACGTCCGCTCTCTGGCCAACAAAATGGGTAGACTGCTGCTTCTCAACAGAGCAAATACACAGACTTTTCTAGATCTGCTGCCCTGTGAGCACATTTCTGATAGCACACTACATCTGCTAGGCTTCCAACTCCTCTAAAGGGGCTGTGTAATGGAGCTATCAAAGAAAAGAGGACACATGCACTCCTCACTTAGGGTCTATTTTGATCAAGTGTAAACTGTTCTATTCACAGTGGGAGATTTCCTTCTTTATTCTGCTCTGTGTTTACATCCCACCTCTGGCCTGACAGCCCTAGGTGAACTCACTGACACTGTGACATTTTATATCAGCTTTTGTGAGGACTGATGGGGGGACAGAAACCTGTATAATCAGACCAGAATCACACTGACAAAGGAGATCAGAGTAGTAAAGAGAAGTTACACTGAAAAGCTGAGGGGAAAAAAAGTGTTTCAGCCAACGGTCCCCAAGAAATCCTCAATTCAATGGCTACAGGCCTGTCGCCCTGATGTCTGTGATCATAAAATCCTTTGAGCAGCTGGTGTTGGCCCATCTGAAGGACATCACAGGCCTCCTGCTGGACCCCCTGTAGTTTGCCTAGAAGGTCAAACAGGTCAGTCGTTGATGCAGTCAACATGGGACTGTCCTACATCTGGCAACCTTCACTCGCTAGGGACATATGCAAGGATCCTGTTTGTGGAGCTCTGCAGTCAAAACCATCCAGGACAGTGATGAGTCTGCATACAGATCAAATCCAAATAATTTCAACCTGGAGCTAAACACACCTAAAAGATCGACAGTGGACTTAAGGGGGAGCCCCCTTTCACCATACTCAGCAGCACTGTGTCTATTGTGAAGGCTTCAGGTATCCACAATCACCCAGGACCTAAAGTGGCCATCCAGCATTGACTCCAGCAGAGGATGTACTTCTTGTGCCAGCTCAGGAACCTGCCTCAGGGGCTCCTTATCGTCCAGTTCTATACTACTATCAAGTCTGCATGTCCATCACTGTCTGGTTTGAATCTACCACCAAACAGGACATAAAGAGACAAACCGTTGCAGTGGTCGCTTATTTAGCAGGATTGCCAGTCATAGTCCCAGTCTGACAAAATCTACTTTGTAATTTACAGCCAGGAAAAACCCTACAAAGGAGTTGGCACAGCCACTAACCCCTTCAATTACCAACACACACAAAAGGACTGCTGAAAACATCATTGGTCCTGTCTGGCTCTCCATTCAGGACATACATCTCCAGAGTCAGGGCACGGTCAGGGAACATTATCCCACCCTGAACACAACCTGCTCCAACCTTTCACAGGCCATCGCTCAGATGAGCAGTTTTGGTCATATAATGTAAAAAAACTATCCCTATGCAATAACCCTGTAACACTAAAACATCTACTTTCCTACAATTTAAATATTTGAATCCTGCAAGCTGTACTGTACATAACCATATGTAATAAAAAATGTAATAAAAAATGAGTGATGGATATTAACCTGCAAATAATTGGACACAGATGTTGAGCACATAACAGAATAACTTTTTGTGTATTATGCAATAACTTTTTACATTTTGTGATCCTAACATTATGATGTCAGTGGCAATGTTTAATGAAAAAATGTACTAACATAGTTAGAGTTCCTAATCTAAAAACCAGGTCATCATCCCTCCTTGGCTTCCCACAGACACAATGCCTTGGACCAAGCTGGAGGCCATGCTGTCCATTTTGGATTATTATTTCAATACACAGTATGTCACATTTTTAATTTAAAAGTTGCCACTGACATCATAATATAATACCATCACAAAATGTAATAGGTTGTTACGTTATACACAAAGTAATTACTTTGTGTCAGTGGTTCTCAACTTTTTTTGGGCCAGCACCCCCCTATCCATTCTCTAGGTCCCTTACCGCCCCATCAAAAATGAGTTGGCTATCTGCCCTGAATATTGTTGATTATTATTGTTGTTGCTGTTGTTACTATTGAAAAAAACACATAATTAAATGACAAACAACATATTTATTACTTTACCAGGAAACAAAAAAGCCATGTGAATAGTAATTAAATATAATTAATAACTGAATGTTCCTCCCAGAAACTGTGTGTGAACCCAGAGACTGTTTTTTTGCATGGGGCACTTAATTTTTTATTTATTTATTTTTAGACCCTGTTTATTTATTTCTGAACTTTTAGTCCCATACACACCAGCACGTACCTTGAGATCCTCGGGCAGAGGTCTGATGTCTGTTCCAGAGTCTCGACTGAAAACTAAAGGGGACAGAGCGTTTTCTGTCAGGGCCCCGAGGCTCTGGAACAGCCTGCCTGAGGAAATCATGTCAGCTGAGTCAGTGAACTCTTTTAAGTCCCTTCTTAAAACATACTTTTATAGGAGAGTCTTTCCTGATCTTATTTGACTTTATTTTATCCCTTTTATTTTATTGTATTTTACTAATTTTATATTTATCTTAAACGTGTGTTTTAGTCTTTTCATTGTTTTCTTGCTTTTATCTTGTATTGTTTTTGTATTATTGTCTCTTGGGTATTATTGTCTTTACACTTGTTAAAGCACTTTGTAACTTGTTTTTGAAAAGTGCATCTGTTGTTTAGAGGCTAGTGTTTATGTACTTTGTGTTGTTTCAGGATGATGACTGGCGTCACAGGGAATGGTTGTGTCAACTGTGTGGCTTCCTGCTCTATGAGAACATCTACATCAGCATTGGTTTCCTGTGCTGTATCAGTCTGGATCGCTACCTAGCTGTGGTCCATCCGTTACGGTAATTTTGATTTGGTATGATAAAAATGCAAGCAGCGGGTCACCACCACTGTTACCTCCGCTCCTTCAACTTTTCACCATTGTTCCTCCGTGCTTATGCAGTTTTATCAATTAACAACCTAATTTGTTTATTTAATGCTAATTACCTGATGTCTTTTTTCTGTCTCCAGGTTCACCTCTCTCCGCTCTATGACTGCTGCATGGCTCGTTAGCGCCATCATCTGGCTGAAAGAAATCGCTGTGGGCATAGTTTTCTTCCGCCATAAAGAACTGAGCCAAAACCACAAGAACCAATCAGTGTGCTTCGAGCACTACCCCATGAAGCCGTGGGAGTATCCAATCAACTACTACCGCTTCACTATTGGTTTCATGTTCCCACTGGCCATTCTATCGGTGGGATAACTGTTTTACAAATCTATTACTGATCACATCTTATTGCATTTTAATCAAATTTGAGTTGAAAACTGCAAATCTACAGCCTTGTGTAACGAATTAATACATGTTTTCTTATTTTCGCTTTGTGTACACTACCTTGAGCATGCAAAACTCTATTACTTATTATCTTCAGACGTGTAACCCTGTTGTCAGTTAAACTGTGTAAATGAATGAGATGCAACATGGAGCAAGAAGAAAGGGACATAAGTCAATAGAGATACGAAGTCAAGTTAGTTATCATGGCAGTGATCCTGGTGCATGTTTTTTCTGACCAGATCAGCTACCTGTGTGTCCTTCGTGCCGTGGGTCGGAGCACTGGCACACAGCCGGATCAGAAGATGAGGATAAGGCAGTTAGTCAGCAGCACCATTCTCATATTCCTCTTCTGCTTCTCCCCCTACCACATCTTCCTGTTAGTACGCACCCTGCTGGAGAAGGACTGCAACTTTATCGCAGGTACAGGTTCTTATCTACAAAGCAATCTAGTGTTTAAGGAGGAAAGCTTCTTTGTCTTAGCCATGTGGTCTGCATTCTTATTTTTCAGGAATATTTAACTACTACCACTTGTCGCTGTTGTTGACCACCCTGAACTGCGTGGCTGACCCCGCTCTCTACTGCTTCGTAAGTGAAAGTGCCCGCCGCGGCCTGTACAGAGCCATATTTCGGCCTGTTAACAGGATGCTCTGCTGCTGCTGTCGCCGCGGCAATGCCAGCCCCAGCAACCCAGCCACTGATTCCAACGAGGTCGCCACCGACGAGAACAATGGCCATCCAACCGTGATGCTGCTCACACACACCAGCACACTCAACAACTTAAAAACAGACACTTCCAGCACCAACACAATTTTAATCACACAGACTGATGAAAAACATATCAAACCCATAATTGTCCAAAATAACAGACATTCACTGCATCTCAAGTGCGCAGACAGCGACAGAAAACCCAGCTGTGTGATAGTCCTAGAAGAGCAGAGCCAGAAGACAGAGAGGACTGAAGAGACTGACAAGAACACCAGCTAAAATTATCCAAGGAGCAGTCAGGAAGCATGCAAGTGCAGAGCAGTGGGATTAAGAGGACAAGGCCTTTTCTCCGACTAAGCTGGAGAATGCACAAGAGAGCGACCAGTAGTCCAATTTAGTCCGTTCTGGTTCAAGGAAATCATGAAGAAAGTTCAGTATGTGTGTCACCACTGATCCTCTGACGTCAGGTTTCATCCAGTTGAGAATATTACTGTACAGTTTGTCATAGAGGGTGACCAGGGCCTGTAGGACTCCATTCATCTTGTCACTGGTGCCTAACTTCTATATCCAGTAGGCTACTTCATCATACTTCATGAAGTCCAATACCAGTGAAAAGTGACTCCTGGCAGGTTGATTTGGGGCTTGATAATCTCTGATTGGTCAAGGTGCAGCACTGAATTGGAACTATTTCTATTCAACATGGCATTGCGAACTTACACATTATGCTTTGTTTCACTGTTATTTAAATTTGAGCAGCTAGCTCGGGCTCATTCCTGTTCTGCTATTAGAAAATGGGTACCATTGTTCTTTTAAAGGGGCTGTATGTAGTTTTTGAATGAAATCACTTATCAATTAATCACTGTTTTATTACCTACTTGTGAACGGGTTGTAACTTCACCACAGGCCTGCTTTCTTGGTGGCTTGGAACAGCTATGGTCTGTATCCTATGTGAAGAAATTGGTTCAGATTTCCTGAATGTGTGCTCCTGAGACTCTGGCCTCCTGATTCTGAACTGTACACACAGCATCAACACTGCAGCTAGCGAAATGGGCCTCCGTTTTGTTAGCTGCAGTGTTGCTAACACCATAAAACGGCTGTAAGGATAAAAAAAAACATTTTATGTACTGAAGCCCTACAGGCCAAACAGGAATCAGATTGACATCGGGTGAAAACACAAGTCAACATTAGCACATGCGCAGGAACACTTGTGCAGGAGCACACATGCTGGAAACGTAGTGGTTACAATCTGAAATGTCACCGCTAGAGGCCCTTAAAAACTACACGTAGCCCCTTTAAAAAGATGTCTGTGAACTCATTTGGACATTATGCAGTCTAAAATGTGACTATTAAATTTGGGACACATTCATCTTGTAATTGCACTGTTAGAAGATGACTGTAGACAGAAACCCTTTAATATCAAGATATCTCTTTATTTGAAAACTCTTTCTGCCATACAAACTAGAAAAATATTGATGCACAAGCACAGCGCATTCTCCACAGAAAAAAAATTAAACACCATTTTGTGTAGTAATAATAAAAAAATGTCGTAGTTATGAGATAAGATGTCATAATTATGATATTCTGATCTCGTAATTATGAGATCCCAACTTCTTTTCTCGTAATTATGAGAAAAATTAAGGAAGCCTAGTTATTATCAGTTTCTGCTTTTAATCTGCTTTTATTTCCTTATCTGTATGAGACACTTTTTCTGTAGTGTAGGTCAGCGATGACTGATGCCTAACTATAGTTAGTCTCTCACACCAACGGCATGTGTCTTATCCACTGGACCATCGCCAAACCTTCATGTCCTGGGGGCAGGGGATCACTGATTTTATGCATCATTTGCCTGTACCTTAAGCTTGTTAAAGGTACAGTTATGTACCCTTTGCTGTCAGCAATGATTCTGTACCTTTAAAAATAAACAAAAGTCCACGGTAAACACCTCAAAGACCATTTCTGTACCTTATAGGGTACTTTTTTGACAAATGTACCTTAAGGGAACAGAAATGATACCCCCATTTCTCTGTGTGTAGGCTTCCTTAACTTTTCTCATAATTACGAGATCCTGTAATTATGAGACAAGTTAAGGAGGCAGTAAGCAGTAAGGAAAAATACGAGATCCTGATCATGTAATTATTACATATTTTCTCATACTTACAAGTTAAGGTGTCTACATTTTTTTTCTTTGGTGAATGCAATGCGCTTACATTGAAAAACAACTCCATGGCTTATATAATATGTTTTCCCTGTGAGATAATACACTGCTCAAAAAAATAAAGGGAACACTTAAACAACACAATGTAACTCCAAGTCAGTCACACTCAACAAACTGTCCACTTGGGAAGCAACACTGATTGACAATCAGTTTCACATGCTGTTGTGCAAATGGAATAGACAACAGGTGGAAATTATAGGCAATTAGCAAGACACCCCCAATAAAGGAGTGGTTCTGCAGGTGGTGACCACAGACCATTTCTCAGTTCCTTTGCTTCCTGGCTGATGTTTTGGTCACTTTTGAATGCTGGCGGTGCTTTCACTCTAGTGGTAGCATGAGACGGAGTCTACAACCCACACAAGTGGCTCAGGTAGTGCAGCTCATCCAGGAAGCAACATCAATGGGAGCTGTGGCAAGAAGGTTTGCTGTGTCCGTCAGTGTAGTGTCCAGAGCATGGAGGCGCTACCAGGAGACAGGCCAGTACATCAAGAGACGTGGAGGAGGCCTTTGCCTTTGTGCAAGGAAGAGCAGGAGGAGCACTGCCAGAGCCCTGCAAAATGACCTCCAGCAGGCCACAAATGTGCATGTGTCTGCTCAAACGGTCAGAAACAGACTCCATGAGGGTGGTATGGGGGCCCGACGTCCACAGGTGGGGGTTGTGCTTACAGCCCAACACCGTGCAGGACGTTTGGCATTTGCCAGAGAACACCAAGATTGGCAAATTCGCCACTGGCGCCCTGTGATCTTCACAGATGAAAGCAGGTTCACACTGAGCACATGTGACAGAGTCTGGAGACGCCGTGGAGAACGTTCTGCTGCCTGCAACAGCCTCCAGCATGACCGGTTTGGCGGTGGGTCAGTAATGGTGTGGGGTGGCATTTCTTTGGGGAGCCGCACAGCCCTCCATGTGCTCTCTAGAGGTAGCCTGACTGCTATTAGGTACCGAGATAAGATCCTCAGACCCCTTGTGAGACCATATGCTGGTGCAGTTGGCCCTGGGTTCCTCCTAATGCAAGACAATGCTAGACCTCATGTGGCTGGAGTGTGTCAGCAGTTCCTGCAAGAGTAAGGCATTGATGCTATGGACCGGCCCGCCCGTTCCCCAGACCTGAATCCAATTGAGCACATCTGGGACATCATGTCTCGCTCCATCCACCAACGCCACGTTGCAACACAGACTGTCCAGGAGTTGGCGGATGCTTTAGTCCAGGTCTGGGAGGAGATCCCTCAGGAGACCATCCGCCACCTCATCAGGAGCAGGCCCAGGTGTTGTAGGGAGGTCATACAGGCATGTGGAGGCCACACACACTACTGAGCCTCATTTTGACTTGTTTAAGGACATTACATCAAAGTTGGATCGGCCTGTAGTGTGGTTTTCCACTTTGATTCTGAGTGTGACTCCAAATCCAGACCTCCGTGGGTTGATAAATTTGATTTCCATTGATCATTTTTGTGTGATTTTGTTGTCAGCACATTCAACTATGTAAAGAAAGGAGTATTTAATGAGATTATCTCATTCATTCAGATCTAGGATGTGTTATTTTAGTGTTCCCTTTATTTTTTTGAGCAGTGTATTATTCTGAACTTATATCCATCTTTTTTTTACAGATATCAGAATATGTGTGCTGCCATTTGGATGTATAAATTGCACTTTTTTGCATTTTCACAATTCAATAGAATGAAGGCTTCACAAATCTGAAAAATGATAGAAATATACCAATTACCAAACTTCTACAGTGTTTTGTTTCTAGCATAAATAACGCCCATAGAGCTTAGTTTTGTATGTAGTTCATAGTAGCTCATTGATTTAGAAATATTTAAAGCAAGCTTGTGTAGCTTTTGCTAAACTGTCAATGTGACCAATAGTTGACAAATAAGGGAAAATGGGAAATGCTAAAATATAGTAAAAGCAGCACAAGTAGAGAAGCGACATCAAGTCTGCACACTGACTCAGTGATGTTTGTTATGCGGCAATAGCTACCTAAAGTTGCTAACATTACTATGGAGGTAACATTAGCCAGCATAAGGTAGTGATCATACCAGACCAGGTAAAGCTGTAGCTCCTGAGTGTATTGAATTGCACAAGAGCGCGTATGAACGTATCTTTAAATGTGTAAGAGGAAGATTGTTATTTTGTTTGTGAAAAGCCACAGTTTAAAACCGTAATTTCCAAATAATTTGACCAGACTGTCTTTTCCTCTTTGCCTGTTTGAAGAGAAAGGTTTTAATCCCATACATTTGTTTAACAAAGTATAGCTATTTATTGTTCAATATTTTGTCATTTTAAGAAATTATACTATTTTATAACAGGCTTTACAAGGTATGTGTAGTGGTGACATTAAAACAGGGTTGTAAAATAAAATGTGGTTTGTAAATCTCTTCTGCGACATAGCAGACAATATTTACATTATTACTTTAAAAATATTACTGTAAAATAATACAGTAGTACTTTTAAAAGATCCGTCTGTGATGTTTAATATTAGCATGCATCTGTCCAGGTCTGCATCTGTGCTATAAGAGAATAAATATGAAGGATACCTCTAAGATTTACATGTTGCTATTGGAATGCATGTGAATGGCATTATATTGTTATATTGTCATAATATTATACTGTTCATCTATTATTGACCAATAACATTATGACACAACATGCATTGTTATAGATCTATGACATATTGCCAAATCATTTGTATGTAAATATGTCAAGGTCGGGAGTTAATTTGACAGTTTGTTTCACAATCACGACATGTTCAAAACTTTATTTTCTATGCAAGTATAACATTAGATTAAATGTTATAAAGGTATCACTTATTGTCAAAGTTGTAAATGTTGTAGAAATGTTAAATGTTATGGGCAACATTTCAAAAATACTATGACTTTATGGTCAAAGATATAATTGTTATAAAGATATAATATTATGGTAAAATCTTTTGTTATGGAACTATAACAATATGGTCAAAACATTATGTTATAATAACACACATTCAAATTATAAATCTTTAATATGACGAATGTGATAAAGAACATTTTTATAAAACTTTGAAACTGTATGCTACTCATATTTGCAACCATGTGTGCGACCCCTGTGCAGACACATGCAGCAGCAGTGAAGCGTAGTGGAGGGTGTGTTTGTGTGTGTGTCTGTGTGGTTTCTGTGCAGTTTCAGCCTGACCTCATCCTTCCCTTTCTTACGCTGGCAATGTACACAGAAAGAACTCTTTCTTGAACATCTGAAGAGTGCAGAGTGTAATACATTATAGGTTCAGGCATTAATGATTATGCAGATGGTCATTATTGCGCCTTGCCTTCTACCTGATTGATTGATTGCTATGACATTTTCTGCAGATATTTGTCTGGGATTATGGTTTAGATGGCATCAAGGTTTATATTAAATAATATAATAATTATTATTATTATTACTATTATTATAATATATAATCGTATATAAAGTTATATTCACCTCGGGGCACCACTCGAAACTAGAGAAAATTGATAGTCAATTAATTTTAAATTAAATTTACTAAACTATTTGGAATTTTGTTAATAATTGAGTTCTACACACCGGGAGGTTGGCAATATTTTCATTCTTATTCAATATTAAAAGAAACCAGCATGTATATACACAAGCATTTATTTACAAGGGAAACAGAGCAAAAACACACAGGATGAAACTAACTAAAATGCACTAGGCTAAGACAAAGAGGTTTAAGCATGTGGTCAAACAAAGAACAAAGATGCAGGGGAAGCTTTAAACTTCCTCCTGCATGTGTGTTGGTTTAAGGCCATATCAAAATATATTTTTGTGTGTGATCTTTGCGGAGCATAGAGACACTGTTAGCTGTTAGCTAGTGGCCATTTAGCAGCTAAAACGCCAGATATTTTTCTTAAGAGTTGGTGGAGACCAAACCAGAGCTAAAAGGAGAGTGAATATTTGGTTAGGGTTGGACACCAAATGAATGATAATGTTGCTCTGTATCTGCTGAATGTTTAAAAAAGCAAATGTTTGCTAACATGTTCATGCCGAATCAACTTAACAGTATGCTCAATGGTGCAGGCCCAAAACCAGTGATAACACCCTGTTATAGTTCCTAAGCCTATCATTGTCTGCTAACATTGGCATGCTAACAATATAAAGGATGTGTAGAATGAGTATCATGAACAATTTTAAATCTTCCGTAATTATCTGTTTTTTTACGAGACCCCCTCAGGCCACTAACATAGCCTACCAGAACTCAGGAATCACAACCCAAGATGTGGGGAGAGAGTTCACTGCATGCTGAAGTAGTACGATGACCCTGAAGTGCAAACCACAACAGCAAATCACAATACACAACATTATTTTGCACATCACGACAGCAAATCGCACAACGCGACAGCAAATCGCCACAACACGACAGCATTGGTTAGACTGAAACGGAAAGGGTATAGGTACCAATTGCCGGGCCCCAGCCCAACAACGTCTGCAATTTTTCACCCTGAGCCCAACCGGAGACTGACATCTTTAACTTCTCTATGATGTGAGCTCTTTGTGATATAGGAAAACACATGCTTCTCGTTGATACTCTGCATGGTCAATTGTCGCGTGTATGGTTATTCATGCGTAGCCTAAATGCCTATTGCATAGGCTAGCCTGTATAGTGTATAATATATACAATATTTATAATACAATCAATATAAAATGTATATGTCATACAGTAGCCTATGTGTGTTCTGTGCGTATAGTGGCACGATAATGCCTATATAGCCATATCTATAAAAAAAATTCCGACAGGTTTGCAGACCTTTAATTTCAGTCCCTCATGGATTCACTAAGTTTATACTTCTGCTTGAGCACTTGCTACATAGTGAACTGCCCTGAATTGCTGTGGTGTTGTGGCGAATTGCTGTCGTGTTGTGGTCAGTGCTTGAAGTGGGTCGGTACGCTGTGGTACACAGTACTAGCACATTGACATTTTACTCTTTGGCGTACTTAGTGAGGACTCGAGCAGCTGCGCTCTGAATCAGCTGCAGCTGTCTGATGGATTTCTTAGGGAGCCCTGTAAAGACACTGTTACAGTAGTCGAGTCGACTGAAGATAAATGCATGGATAAGTTTTTCCAGATCCTGCTGAGACATAAGTCCTTTAATCCTTGATATATTCCTTAGGTGAAAGTAGGCTGACTTT